AGGAGAGGTGCTCCAGCCCTCGGATCATCTTCGTGGCCTCCTCTGGCCCTGCTCCAACCCATCCATGTCCTTCCTATGTTGGGGACTCCAGAGCTGGACGCAGGACTCCAGGTGGGGTCTGAGGAGAGCGGAGTCAAGGGGCAGAATCCCCTCCCTGGCCCTGCTGCCCACGCTGCTCTTGATGCAGCCCAGGGTACGGGTGGCTTTCTGGGCTGCCAGCGCACATCGCCGGCTCGTGTTGAGCTTCTCATCCACCAGTACCCCCAAGTCCTTCTCCTCAGGGCTGCTCTCGAGCCACTCTCTGCCCAGCCTGTGCTTGTGTTTGGGGTTGCAAACACAAGTACATATAAATAGTTCTAACAAGTACATAAAATAGTTCTAACTATTTTGGTATGGAAAAAAGACCTCCTTGGCTCAGAACATAGGAACCTCCTTTACTGCCTGCTGTCTCCATGACCAGGGACCACTAGATGTTGAAATCTATTCAAGCAGGACCCCGCCAGTTGCCAGAGAAGAGGTCAGTCCTTGGGAATAACAGCCACAATGGGTTGAGGAAACCACACACTGGTAGCTGTGGCTCCAAACCGCAGACGTACCTGTTTGACGGTGGCAACCATCCGGGCCATCAACATGATGCTGGAAGTCTCCGGAGGATAATGCATGTTTCTAGGGGATAAGAACGAAGAAAAGCGATGAGCAGATCAATGCCAGCATGGAAATAAAAACTGGAGGGAGGCAGAGGCAGCTGCCGTGCAAGCAGTCAGGCCTTCTCTTCTCCATCACACCAGTGCAGCATCGCTGCGTGGGGATCCAGCGCTGCTTGGGGCAAGGAGAAGCCCGCGCCCACCTGCCTGCTCTAACGACACAAATAATCCCCTGCCATCCTGCTCAGTTAGAGCCTGGGTCCCACACAAAGCCCAAGACTGCAGTGAGAGCTGTAGTCCGTGACGAGCTGGGGATGTTGCTTCTCCCCTCTGTACCCATTTTGTCAGCTGCAAGCAGGGGCAGCAATTTATGTACCCGCAGGGGTGCTACGAGGAGGATCTCCCAGAGGCTGGAGATCTGCAGGAGCGCTACAAAACTGCAGGAGTGAGGGATGCGCAGCTCAGTGTTTTGTAGCTCTACTGGGAGAAAAACAACTACTGAGCTGTGTGTCTGAACCCCAGCACTGCCAACACAAATTCACCCGCTGCCCAGCCAGCAGGCACAGCCGGCCAGTGTCCCACGGCCACCACCACCCTCCAGCCACCCTACGCAGGGATGCAAAGCAAGGATGGTCCTCAGCCCCGGTCCCACGCAGTGTCACCCAGCCCAGGAAAGCCACCCCCTCTGCCTGTGAAGCATCAGGCAGGTTGCTCCCCTACCTCCATGCTTCCTGCAGCTTGTTGAGGGGGTGCGTGGGGTCGTCACGGGACGGGCCAAGGCAGAGGACCTGGTGGTACTGCTCCAAAGCGGCCTGCCTGCATTCAGCGCTGCAGTATGTCACCTACAGTGAGGGGAACAGCACCCAGCACTGGCTACAGCAGCAGGAAAAGGGGGGTCCTAGGCCCAGCTGTGCCCCCTCCCTGACCATCTGAGCCCCAGCTCATCGTGATGCAGAAGGAAAAAGCAGACACCCATCTCGGGGCAGCGCAAGTGCCTGGCTAGATGCTGCAAAGGAGTCGGTGATCCCAACAAGACCACGGTCCCTTCCGGCAGCCCCGTACCTGGCACCGGGGACACTGCTGGTGCAGGTCTTTCCGGATGCTGCACTGCTCTGGGTGAGGCAGCAACAGCAAGCTCTTCCCCAGCAGCCGTGCGTTTTCCTCCGCCGTCTCCAAAGCCCGCAGGCAGTGATCGCAGGCTGTGGGGTGACAAGATGGACGGACACCACAGTCAGAAAAGGGGCCAGGGCAAGACAGCACGAAAGCCAACCGTGCCCTGGGCTGCATCCCCAGCAGCGTGGGCACAGGGCGAGGGAGGGGGTTCTGCCCCTCTGCCCCGCTCTGCTGAGACCCCCCCGGGAGTCCTGCATCCAGCTCTGGAGCCCTCAGCACAGGACAGAGCTGGAGCTGTGGGAGCGGGGCCAGAGGAGGGAGACCTTAGAGCAGCTGCCAGTGCCTGGAGGGGCTGCGAGAGAGCTGGAGAGGGGCTGGGACAAGGGCAGGGAGTGATGGAACAAGGGGTGATGGCTCCAAGCTGAAAGAGGGGAAATTTAGACAGGATATAAAGAAGAAATTCTTTACCCTGAGGGCGATGAGGCCCCAGCCCAGGCTGCCCAGTGAAGCTGTGGCTGCCCCCTCCCTGGCAGGGTTGAAGGCCAGGTTGGACGGGGCTGGGAGCAGCGTGGGCTGGTGGAAGGGGTCCCTGCCCGTGGCAAAGGGGTTGGGACTGGGTGGTCTGTCAGGTCCCTTCCCACCGAACCAGTCTGTGACTCTACGACGTGATCCCGTGACTGGCCCCAACACCATCTCCAGGCTGGAGGCACCAGTCTCCTCCCGCTCCCTCCACAGTAAAGACCATTTCTGCTGGATTTCACCCCCCCCCAGCCCTCATGCTCTGCCCTGTAACGCTGGGCAGGGTTTAGGGGCCATCCCCACGCTGCTGGGCCCGCAACGGAACTCAGCAGACAGCAGGGCCTAGGCAGAACAAAAATAAAAGTTTAAAACCCTGCTCTTACAACCCCCCCCCCCCTCAGCTCACCTCGGTAGTTGTACAGGGCGTTCCAGAGGAACTGCGACGACGCCACCGGCCTCTCCACGAAGATGGTTTCCCCTTTGCGGATGTTTTTGGTGGCGAACAAGCCCTTCCCCTGCCGAGGGAGAAGGCGCGGGGTCGGGGAAGCCCGAAACCCACCCGTGGGCTGAGGGTGCCCCGCCTGAGGGGAGGCTGCCGCGGTTTCACCCCCTTTTCCCCCGTCAAAAATGGGCCCCCGGGCAGCGTGAGGGAAGGGCGAGACCCCCGCGGCCCCCGGGCTCACCTTGGCGCTGCTGACGAACCGCGCCTCCGC